CCTGCAAAGGGCTGGACAGTAACTATTTTAGGCTTTGTGGGCCAGATGGTTTCGTTTAAAACCACTCTATTCTTCAGGAAGGCAGTCAGAGACAGTACATAAACAAATGGACATGACTGTGCCAATACAACTTTATTTACAAAAACAAGCAGGAGGCCAGATATGGCCCTCGAGTTGTAGTTTGCTGACCACTGAGTTGGCTAGGTTCAACTACTGTAGTGACAGCTGCATTAAAAAAGTTTCTTTTTCAAGTAACAGAACCACTGTAAATAATTGAATGTGGTCTGGCTGCTTCACAGTTTCAGGGACCCAGGCTCCTTGTCTTTTCTGCCCTACTGTGTGGTCCAAGATGGCATACCCATACCCACATTCCAGCCAGCAGGAAGGGGAAAGAGGGAGGGGAGGGCTCACCCCTTTCCTTGAAGGATACAACCCCAAATTGTACACAATTCTGCTTGTACTCCATTGACCAGAACTTAGTTACATGACCATCCCTAGCTGCAAGGGAGGCTGGGAGATGTAGTCTTTAGCTGGGCAGCCATGGTCCTGGCTCAATATGCTATTACTACAGAGGAAGTGGGGAGTGGTTGTGCAAGAACCTGCCTCAAAGGGGATCATGATTCTTGTCATTATTTCTTGGCCCCTCAGCCAATTTCAAGCGCCCAGTGGTGATCCTGGGACCAGTGGCAGACATTGCTATGCAGAAGCTAACTGCTGAGATGCCTGACCAGTTTGAAATTGCAGGTGAGAAACCAGGTCCCTTGGCAACCTTGCTGGTGAATCATGTCGCAACCCTTTCCCAGCCCCTGGGGCTGAGGCAGCTTGAGAGGAAATGTTAATGATGCTGTTTGGGGTTAAGAGGTAGAACATGAACCACCAGCACCCCTTCCAATGCCTGGGCCAGACGTCCTCAAGCAATTGTGGTACTCTGGCTGGATAGAGCCTCAGAGTCCTTCTTAACACAGTTCACCAGGCAGCCACTGCCAAGTGAGCCAATGTGCCAGCTTTTGTTTGAGATTTGTCTATTGAGCTATGGACACATCGAACAAAATACACAAGGTCCACCAAGGAGACAAAAATTAACAACTACAGAAATAAATTAAATTAGGCGTCAGCAAATTACAGCTCCCAGGCCAAAGCTATTTTTATACAGCTCGCTAAGAATGCTATTTACATATTTTAAATGGTTGAGAGAAGTTAAAAATAATTTTCTTGTGATACATGAAAAAAATGGAAAGCTGCAACTTGAACATGAAGGTTCACAGCAGCATTATTCACAACAGCCGAGAGGTGGAAACTCAAGTGTCCATGGACAGATGATGGATAAACACAGTGTGGTCCATCCAGACAAGGGAATAGTATTCAACTTTAAAAAGGAAGGGCATTCTGACACCTGCTACAACATGGATGAACCCAGAGGACATTATGTTCAGTGAAATAAGCCAGACACAGGACAAATACTGTGTGATCCCACTCATAGGAGGTCCCCAGAGGAGTCAGATTCATAGAGACAGGAAGTAGATGGTGGTGCCAGGGGCTGGGGGAGGGGAGGGGAGTGAGTGTTTAATGGACAGAGTTCCAGTTTGGGAAGATAAGAAAGTTCTGGAGATGATGGTGGGGATGGTTGCACAATGTGAATGTGCTTAATGCCACTGAGCTGTACACTTAAAAGGAGCTTCTTTTGGGTCACAGCCTGAGCAAAGGCCTGGAGTTGGGACCATGCCTGGGAGAATGTCTGGAGCACAGACTCTGCATCAGGCTCCTGACCTTGCCACTCTTTGGCTCCATGACCCTGAGCTGGTGACCTTATGTCCCTGAGGCTGTTTCCCCATCTGCCGGATGGGCCAGTAACAGCCACCCTCCTCGGGAGGAGTTGAGGGCCGAGGTCGAGGAGAACAGATCAGCTGCTGCTGCTGTTAGGATTCCTCTCAAAGGCAATGGGGAGCTATGGTGGGTTCTTGAACATGGGAGGGGCAGGTAGACATGAATTTGAGGGATTAGGGGACCGCCCTCCTGAAGCTGCTGATTGCCACTCCCCTCCACAGAGAGCGTGTTAAGGACCGAGAGCCCCTCTAAGATCATCAAACTGGACACCGTGCGGGTGATTGCGGAGAAAGTAAGCAGGGCTGTGTGTGGGTACCATTTCATGGGTGGGGAAACTGAGGCCCAGGCATCCAACCTCTTCTCACCCCATGGCCACAAGTGTTCTCCCACAGATTCCCCCTCTCGGAGGCTTTGTGATGTGGGGGGCTTGAGGAAGACAGAGGCTGCCCAGTCACATAGCAGCAAGTCCTGGAAAAAGGCAGACGGGCTCAAACTGGGGCTCTGGTGCTCAAATCACTGTGGCCTGGGTTATCACCAACCCCCGCCCAAAACACGCTGGCCTGTGTATGCACTATGCTGGGGTCCACTCTGACCTCAGACTCTTAATCTCCGACTCTTCACCTGTCTCTGAGTGTTTTTCTCCACTCTCTCCCTCCTCCACCATGGGCCCCACTAGGACAAGCATGCACTCCTAGATGTGACACCCTCGGCAGTTGAGCGCCTCAACTACGTGCAGTACTACCCCATTGTAGTCTTCTGCGCCCCTGAGAGCCGCAAGACCCTCAAGGCACTGCGCCAATGGCTGGCACCTGCCTCCCGCCGCAGCACCCGCCGCCTCTATGCTCAAGCCCAGAAGCTGTGGAAGCACAGCGACCACCTCTTCACAGGTAGGATGGGAGCAGGGGACCCAGGGTAGGCAGTGAGTTTCTCGGCCGGCCGCACTGATGGTCGTCCCCGCCCCCTCTCCAGCCACCATCCCTCTGCATGGCATGAGTGACGGCTGGTACCAGGAGCTCAAGGCCATCATCCATGAGCAGCAGATGCGGCCCATCTGGACAGCTGAGGACCAGGTAGGTATTAAGCCAGGGTTTGGGGCCTTTGTCTTGATTTAGGGCAAAGTCAGGGGTCGGGTGTGGCCAAGGCTGGACCTGGTTGGGGGGGGGGGCCTGGGGCTGGAGTCAAGGGTTGGGGCTCAGCTTAGATTTGGGGGCTTAACCTTGAGTCAAGCAAAGGGTCAGTGGTCAGAATTCACCGTGAGGTCAAGGGTTAAGCCTCAACTTGAAGATCAAGGGTCTTACCTGGAGTGTGAAGGTGGTGTCCTGGGTTGGGGTTTGGTCAGATATCCGGGAAGGCCTGGGCTGGGGTTCTTGGCTCAGCTAGGCCATGCCCACCCCACAGCTGGACAGCTCCTTGGAGGACAACCTGGACCTCCCTCACCACGGCCTGGCTGACAGCTCCACTGATCTGAGCTGTGACAGCCGGGTCAACAGCAACTATGAGACAGATGGCGAGGGCTACACGGATGGTGAGGGCTACACGGACGGTGAGGGTGGGCCCCACACGGACGTGGACAATGGGCCCCTGATGCCAGCCCTGGCCCGGTCATCCGAGCCCGTGATGGCAGATGAGACCCAAAGCCCAAGGGATCATGGAAGATCCTCAGGTCACCAAGAGGCCCAGGTGAGCAGGGCATGGGGGTAGCCCCAGCAAAGGTCTGAGGACCGGACAGAGACACATGGGGACCCTATTTTCTGCCAGGAAGTAATCAGATCAATATCTGGGACCCAGACTTAGGCTCTATGAACCAATGAGTCACTTACAGCAGATATTTTAACTTCTGTGCACAAAGTTATCTGGGATACTTATCTGGGACAGATGCTAAAAGTTTTGACATCACAGGGTGGTTGTTTAAACTCAACACAGCCCAAGTTCTGGCCCACAGTAATTGGATATTTAACAATAACAAATACAGTATTTATTTAGTTCCGTGGGGCTGCCTCAGCCTCTACAGTGCCTGTCTAGGTAAATGTACAAATGTACCAATCTATGATGTCTCTAGTTAGAGTGATACTCCCTGGGGTTGTGCAGTGCCCGACCTGCTCAACTGTCCATGGATGCCTACTTATGGGGCAGGCACTATTCTAAGCGTTTTACATATGCAAACTTATTTATGAACTCCTGACAACAACCCTCTGGGAAATTTTACTGATGGAAAACCCAATTCCCCCTTTGTTGACAGGCTAGATCTCAGCCAAGGCCTTTCCCTGTCCCAGCCTGTTTTATCATTTAAAATTGGGGATGAGATGCAGACTTGGGAGGGGGGTGGCAAGGAGAAAGCCTGTGGGTAGTACTGCCTGGACAACGGTGGGAAAGTGATCATATTTTTGGGGGAAGGATTAACCTCCTTTCTCCTTCCAAGGAGGACAGCCGCCACCCACAGGTTCAGTGGCAACAAGACAGCATGCGGTGAGAGTCCCTATACTCCAGGCTGGGGCCCCTCAACCATTTCCCTGGGACTCAGGGTTTGGGCGGAGGTGAAAAAGAGACCTAGAAGCAAGCAATGCCTTCGTCGTGCTCCTAGCCTGGTGGGCAGTATAGCCAGCCAAAGCCACTCTAAGCCCCATGTAGCCAGGGCCATGGATGTAGGAATCCTCCTTCTGGGAGCACTAAGACTTCCTGAAGGAGGGAGTACTGGAGCCAGGGCTTTGAAGGCTGTGTAGGAGCTCATTAATAAGGCTCAACCCCCAAATGCCCAGTCTTGCTCATCTCTGCCCACACCCACTGTGCCTAGCAGAGTCAGCTTTTGTTAACAGTAGTTAAGTCCACACCCACCCCACCCATAGCCTCTATTTTTTTTCCTGATGCCTAGGACATATGAGCGAGAAGCTCTGAGGAAAAAGTTTACACGAGCCAGAGATATGGAGTCCTCTGATGAAGACAGCTATGACTGGGGCCCAGCCACTGACCTGTGATTCCCTCCCAGGTGGCCAGCTGGGCCGTCCTCCCTTTTCTTCCCAGGAGATGGGACTCAGATTCCCATCCAGAACCACCTCCCTCCACCTGGTCTTTAATAAATATTTTCACAGTACTGGCTTCTAGTGGCTTCCAGGAAGGACATGGGGCCAGGGTCCTGTTTTTCCTCTCTCAACCCTACATACCCTGATCTCAGACCTCACTCATTTGATAAGCTTTTAATTTTTTTACATCAGAAAATAATATAGAGCCAAGAATCATCTGGGGCCCTATCCAGCCAAGGAGGCACCATGGACAGAGTTCCAAGGCTGGTGGGGCTAAGGCACAGCGGTGGGGGTGATGACCAGTCACAGGTACACGGGCTGCTCCTGGCCTGTGAGCAGGCGGTAGGTGGCCGCTGGCATGGTCTTGATGTGGACCTGGGGGAAGGGAGAGGAGGAAGCGGCTCGGGGCAGGCCTGGACTGGTGGGAGGGCACCCCGATCCCACCCACTGCCCGCATACCTCAGTGTGGGCCTCCATGAGAAGCTCAATGACTCGGGCGTGTGGTGTGGCCACCACACTGTGTCCATTGATCTCAATGATGCGGTGCCCCACGCGGATGCCCCCGCGCTCGGCGATGCCCCCACGGAGGAGACTGCAGATCTGGCAGGGGACAGAAGGGGGCCATGCTGCTCAGAGGGCCACACTGGGGGCCGCCCACACCCCACCCGGTGCCTTGAGCTGGAGTCTCACAATGCCATCCTCCACGCAGAAGCCCAGCTGCTCTCGAGCGTGGGGTCGGCGGATGATGGCCGTGGTGACCGGGGGGCAGTGGACGATGCTGAGGGTCACCAACGTCTGCGACTTCACCTCCTGTGAAGGATGGGGGGCATTGGCCGACCTGGGCCTCTGGGGGCTGCTGGACCTCTTGGCAAGCTGCAGCCTCCTCTGGGCCTCAGTTTATCCACCGGTAAAATGGAGATTTGGAGTCAAGGCTCTAGAAGACCTTCTAGATTCTAGAAGAGCCCTTGAGAAGCAGTTAACACAGACAGGAGCTGGGTGGCCTCAGCATTGAAGCAGTGCGGCCTCTCACCTCCCTGACTCCTTGGGCCTGTTTCCTCATGGTCAAAATCAAGTTTCTAGCAGTGTCTACCACGCAGGGTGACAAACACTCAGTGGCATGCTACGTGAACCATGTCAGACCTGCCCTTCTGACCTGGCCAGGTCCTTCATCTCTGGGTGTTCAGTTCCCCATGTGGGCAACAAAGGTCAAGACACAAGAGCACACTTGCTGCCTCACAGAAGACAGGAAAAGCCGCTGGCTCTGCCACTAGCCGCCTACACTCCAATCCCGTTCCCACACCGGTGAGGTCACCCTGGATGGGCAACTTCCCCTCTCCCAGCCTCAGTTTCCCTAAGTGCACAGGAGCCAGTAGGACTTTAAGTTCTAACTGGTCCCTTCTGGGCTGGGCCTCAGAGACCTGTCCAGAAAAGGTACCTCTGTGGCCTTGGGCACCCCTTCCCAGCTACATGGGGAGGTGGGCCTGCCATCGGGGGGCCCTTGGGGCACACCCTCTGGCGTCTGCCACCCCAGGAGAACTCACACGGATGGCAGCCTGGACGGTGGCCAGGGGCAGCCCCACAAGGCTGGTCCCATTGATGGCAGTAAGGCGGTCCCCGATGCTAAGGGCCCCCGAGCGCTCGGCGGGGCCCCTGTGCAGCAGGTTGGCAATGACAGCAGTGGGCAGCAAGGAGCCCCAGCCCGACTCCACCAGGGCCATTCCCAGGCCCTCACCCCTGCGCTTCTCGATGACCACCTGGGAGGGGACACAGGTGGGTATGAGGGCCACTCGGTGGGGGGTTGGTAGGAGGTTGCCCGCCCATTTGCTCACCTCCCTGCAGTTCTCACTGTTGGAGAAGTGGTCGAGGTCCCCGTTGTGGAGGTGGCCAGGGTCCATGGCCCCTTGGTTCTGCTGGGCGCCCACCTGACTGGGGTCAATGCCATTTTCCCGCAGGAACTGGCTGTAGGCCACGGCGAAGGCCTGGCCAATGGCCTGAGCAATGAGCTGGGCCTGTGGTGGATGGGCAGCATCTCTCTGGGGATGTCCTGCCCTCCTCCTTCTGGTCCCCCAAATTCTCTGACAACCTTAGAGCCCAGCCCTCCCACCCCACCTGGGACAAGATTCCCAGGAGACAGCCTGGGCAGCTTTCAGGAAAATAGCTGCTGTCTTGGGGGATATATTGGGAGCAGGAGAGCAGACAAGTCAGGGGCAGGGAAGGTTTTGGGAGTCAGTCGCCAGTCTGAAAGTCTTATGTAAAAACTGGAACATGCGGGACCTACGGGAGGGGTGGGCGACAGCAGCCAGCGCTGAGGACCAATAAAAAGATGCTCGGGTGAGGGTGCGACCAGGTGGCTTTGGAGGAGGGTGGGGGCTGCCTTGAGTCCTCCTCTCCCCCAGGACACCCAGAGACCTACTCACGTTCTTTGAGTGGAAAACATGGCAGATCATCTTGTAGAGCTGGGGGCCGTGGGCCTGGGATGCTGGCTGTCGGGGCAGCCGCCGGCGGGCCATAATCACCAGCACACTGCCGATGTCAGCGATGTAGGAGATGGTCTGCAGGGTGTGGTCCATCATGGCCTCCTGGAGAGGTGCAGATCAGGCTTGGGTGGGCAGCAGGGGCTTCAGTGGAGCTCCGCACACCCCAGAGGCCAGGCCTGGACCCTGTACCTGGGATTCAGCGATCAGAACCTTGACCCTCTTGGTGGAGATGAAGAGGTCCACCTCTGTCATGGGCTGGGTCTCCCCATCGGGGGCCTGTAGGGGGTGGTGTGGGAGGTAGAGGACCCCAAAGACCCACTAGGCTCCAGGGCCTCGGAGGAGCCAGCCTGCAGCCCACCTGCCCGCCCATTGGCCCTTGGCTTCACCTTGACACGATCCATGGCCTCCTGGGCCTGTGCCATGCGCGTGCTGGGGGGCGGGTTCCGCTCAGACACCAGCTGGGTGGAGCCCAGGTATTTGGCCCCAAATATGACACCATCGAGGAGATCTTCATGGTCACAGGGACCCAAAACTGAGGGCAACAATGGAGGCATCAGCCCTCGAGAGCCCTGACCAGACTCGTTGACCCCCATGGGCTTGGCCCAGGGTCTCTGCTGCCAGAACAGACTAGAAGCACAGATAAATCTACCCTCTCATGACAGTACTGTTGAGGCGCACGGGTCCCCACCATGGTCCAGGACCATCCCATCAGCCGGAGCCCAAGCCCAGCAGCTCAGCCCTCGCAAATCTAAGGCTATCAAGTAGTCCTAGAGCCAGCTCTGTCCATAGCTCAAGGACTCCCAGGCAGAGGATCCAGTTTCTAGGGGCTTCTGTGAGTCCAGAACCACAGCTAATCCAAAACAGCACTAGTGCTCACAGATACCTGCACCCTGCATTTCTAGAATTCCATGGTCAGGCTAGATCCAGATGGTTCCACTTCATTTCTAAAATCTGAAACAGCATAGAACTGTATCAACTCCACTCAACGGTTCTGGAATTCCCCATCAATCTAGAGGCAATTAACTCTGCCCATTGTCCTAGAATTCTCCCCTATCACTCCAGGACAGTAGACAACTCTACACCTTGGTCATAGAATTGCCCAGAGAGAAACTGTCCACATGTCTAAAACTCTCAGACTGTATAGAACCCCACATGGCTCTGATTTATGTCTCTAGAACTCCCCGACAAGTTTCAAACCACAAAATTCTGTCAGCAATTCTAGAAACCTACACCACTCCAGAATCAGACTTTTCCACTCCATGATTCTATAACTTCTTAATTATGATAGCATCGGGTAGCTCTTTCTATGGTTCTAGAATCCTGTCAATACTTCGTGACTACAGAGACACCCTGTGATCCTGAGAATTATCCGAACACCCAGAAACGAACAACTCTGCTCATGGTTCTAGAATTCCCCCAAGCCAGCCCAGAACCATATAAAGCTTTGCCCCCATGGCTCTAGAATCCCAAGCAACAAGGACCAGACAGCTGTGCCGGCAGTTCTGGGATGTTCTAACCAATAGTTATTGCTTTTTGGTTTGGAATCACAGGTATAGGTCCCAGTGAATTAAACCACACTCCTATGAACTTAAACCACAGGCAGCTGTGCCTGTTGTCCTTCATGATCTAAGCATTCTGGAACGATAGACAACTCTGCTCAAGGGTTCCAGGACTGTACCGTCCAATATGGCAGCCACCTGCACATGCAAGTATTATGCACTTAAAATGTGGCTGGTCTGGATTAAGGTGTGCTGTAAATACAAAATGCACACTAAATCTTGAGGCTCTAATATGAACAAAAAATAAAATAATTGTAAAATGTTGATTATGTTGAAATATTAAATATATTTGGTTAACTAAAATGTGTTATTAATATTACCGTTTTTTGAAATATGGATAACTAGAAAATTTCAAGTCACATATGGCTCACATTATATTTCTATTGTATGGCACCACTCTAGAACTTTCTGATGACTCTAGAATTGGATATCTCTGCCCAGTTCTGGAATACCTCCTACTGGTCTAGAACCACGGGTAAGTTCTACTCACTCTGTGGTTCTAAAAACTCCCTCCCCAGTCTGAGTAGCCCCAGACAGCTCTGTTCGTCATTCCAGAAGTTCCTTTAATCTAGAAATACAGGCAAAATGCCAAGTTCTAGAACTGCCTAGGTGAGTCACAGCTCCACCTGTGACTCCAGAGCCTTCTTGGAACTATAGGTCCAAGCCAGCTCCTCTTCTCACATAGACTTTGCTCTTTGACATATATAGCCTCAGATAATTTGGGGTGAAATTCTACAGTATTCCAGGTGGCCACTGGTTCTTCCCATGACTTCAGGGCAGAGACTGGCAAACTTTCCTGCAAAGGGCCAAACACTAAATATTTGTTATTTTGTGAGCCAGATGGTCTCTGTTGCAACTCAACCTGGCCATTGTAACACGAAAGCCACCACAGACCATATGTATGGAAATGAATGGGCATGATTGTGTCCCAGTAAAATTTTATTTGTGGACACTGAAATTTGAATTGCATGTTATTTTCATGTGTCAAGAAATATTTTTCTTCTTTTGATTTTTTCCACCCACTTACAAATGCAAAAGCCATCACAGATCACAAGACATACCAGAACAGGTGGTAGGCTGGAGTTGGTCCACAGACGGTAACTTGCCAACCCCTGCTCTACAATGGAGTGCTACAAATACCCAAGCCTATCTTATCAACCTTTACTCATTCTATAACATTTTCAAAACTGTCTCTCTTCTCTCAGGCCGTCTGAAATCAAAACCAACCTCAGCCTCTCTAGAAGCACCTCCGTACCGGCAAACTGTGTCAGATTTCAGGAACCTGATTCAGGCTGTTCTGAAACCCCTAGGTCCCTGGGGCCAGGGTGGGCAGGACACTCACCCTCCTGGAGGGCCGGGTATGAAGCCACAGTCTTGGAGCTCTAGAAGACAGAAAAGGGGCAGGGCTGAGTCCCCCCAGCTTGGCTCCTGGCAGCAGAGGAGGTCTGGGGGGCGGGGGGGGGGGCAGGCACTACCTCAGTACTGGCAGGCTGCTCTTCAGGAACAATCAGAGGGACCATCTCCAGCCAGGGTTCCGTGGAGCTGCTTGAGCTTCTGCTGCCACGTCGCTCAGCAGAGGCTCCCTCTGCCCATTGCTGGGGGCCAGTATCCCTATCTGGGTCCTCAGGGGGCTGCAACATGTGAGGAGCAGGATCTGGAGGCTCCTTGGAACAAGACTGGGAAGGAGGGGACTCCTTGAGATGCAAAAGGCTCAGCAGGTCGTCTCGGCCAGCCTCAGCAGACAAGAGCCCATGGGCATCGGCTAGGTCCTGGGAGGCCAGGCCGTGGCCAGTGGCAATGTGCAGGGGACAGGGGGATCCATCTGAGGACAGGCCTGCCAGATCGCCTGGCAGAGCCTCAAACTGTTGTACAAGGTCCTGAATATCTGGCCTGTCAAGTTCCATTTGACTGAGGCTGCTGGGGCCTCCTGGCACCGGGTCCCACTGGGAGTCAGGGGGGAAGTCCTGCGAGGGCGCAAGCGTGTCCCTGGGCTCCTCCAAGTCCATGGCTGGAGGCCCCAGAGGGGGTCCCGGGGTTGTTAGGAATTCCATGCCCCAGGCTCAGGCCAGTATCTAAAAGAAAATCAAAGATTAGATCGCCAGGCTCTAACTGTTTATACATGACACATAATTTAATCTCCACCATACCCTGCAAGGAAGGGTCGGCTATGATCCCCATTTTACAGTTGAGGAAACTGAGGCACAGAATGGGCAGTTGTAAAGCAGTGGTATCCTGGGCTCCAAACCCGGGGCAGGGCGGGGCGGGGGTCAGGGAGTGGTGTGGTGGTGGCGGTGTGGGAGTCCTCTATACCCAAGGCCTCTTCCCCACCAGGGGACCCTGTTTACCCCAGTCCTTACTTTTCCAAGTCTTCCTCCCCAGCGACGTGGAACCCGGGCTTGAAACACACCCTGACTATACAGGCCCAACAGGTGCAGGTCCCTGAGACCACGGACACAAGATCCCAGCCCAAGACTTTAGACCCAGGACCTCAGACTTAATGCTAGAGACCCAAGACGACAAAAGTTGACCCAAATCTCAAAACCTCCAACACCAAGTTCAAGATGGACCCCAGACACAGACCCGGACCTCAGACCCAGTCTGAAGACACAACTCGAGCCTAAAGGTACGAGTTAAGACCCCAGTCCTTATGCAGACCCCAGACTCAAGACTTCAGACCCGTGACCTCAGGCGCTGGCCCCAGGCCCTGCTCTGCCCTGCCGGGACACTCACTTCCCAAACCGAGGTGGCCTCACCCTGCGCGGTCCCCAGGATCCCACGTCCCGGGTCGATGGGTCTTCCCAGCCACCGCCGACCGCCATTCCTGGCCAGGGCGCCGGCAAATAACTGCGCGCAGCGATTCCGGCCCACTGGGCACGCGCACCCTTGCGGGCCTGCTGGGAAATGTAGTTCCCCCCCAGTCAGCCTCGCCGCGTGGGGGCGCTAGTTGTCGGTCTCTCAGGTTAGAATCCCGGCTTTCCATTTACGCCCGGTGGGAACTCGGCTAGTCCTGTGGGCCTGTTTCCTCAACTGCAAAATGGGGTTAATAATCACTGCCTGCATCCTACGGCTGTGGTCATTATTCCAAGGGATGGTAGATGGGAAGATATGGGACTGGAAAATACTAAAGGAGAATGAAAAGTGGTTTCTTTCAACTACGGGGACACCGGAAGCAGCGCGGGGAGCCTATTTCAAACGGACTTGGACTTACCGGTTTGGCTCACAGTAGGGGGAGAGAGTGGTACGTCTTGGCTTAACGTTTTCTCCCTGAGCCTCGGTTTCCTCAATTATAAACTGGGGGCTAATACCTCGTAATTGTGAGGATTAAACGAGGTCAAGCCAGTTAAGGACTTTCCAATTAGACCGGAATATAAAGTCTAATAAGTGTTAGCTTTTTAATGACTTTTAGATTTTAAGTAGTTGCTCATGGGGTAGAATCAGGTATAAGGCGTTAAAGTAAATAAGTAACCGAAGAAGGGCAATAAGTAAATGAAACATCCTTTGAAAGTCTCCTCATACAGTAACTGGGGTATCTATAAAAGTTTAAAGTCAAGGAATGTATGCCTAAGGCTGGAATACATTTCCCAAGAATCTCTAGGCGCTTCTAACTCCCAAGCACCCTGTGGCCGCTGACGTCTCCGGAAACGTGCACGGACAGGCCGGCGTACGTCATGGCTGCCAGACGACTCTTCGGGGCTACCCGGACCTGGGCTGGCTGGCGGGCTCGGGAGCTCCCGGATCCTGCCGCTCCTGGAAGACTCCTTGTACGGGATTATGCCAAGAGACCGGGTAAACTGAATTAAGAGGAACCAACATGGGGACGGTGGGGATAGTGGGTAGTTAGTAGTGCGCAGGCGCTGTTTGGGGAGGTGGTTCTTAAAATTGACGAACGAGCATGAAGAGGCAGACGGCTGGGTTTTACGCGCAAGCGCAGTTTGAGGGGCCCAGGGCGCGATAGGATTCACTGCGCAGGCTCCAGCCTGAAGCTGAGCAGGAAGTGACGGGGTGTTACTTGGAGCAAACGCGCTTCACTGCGCAAGCGTGGGTTTGTTTTCTTTGGGTAGTGGGTGGGTGGTAGGAAGTTAGGAACTTGGGTCTCAATCCTGTTTCTGCCCTAGTCACTGACCTTTGGCGAGTCATCGCCAGAAATTCGAGGATGCAGTGAAGCCCATCTCAGTATTAACCACGTAAGCAAAAACAAAGCAAGGTTATTTGAATTTTAGTTGGATATAGCCTTGCCTGATTTCCTTGTTGAGAGAAGGCAATTGGCAAATTAATTTTAGGCCTTAAAGAGACACAGCAGCACTTTCTCCCTGAGATAAGTAAGAATCAAAATAGAATTTAAAAGGAATGACTTGGTCATTCTGAGCATCGGTGTTATTTAGAATCATTTTGAGTGCAGCAGACACGGTGCAGCCAAGGCTGGGGGCCACCCAGAGAGACAGGCAGCAGGAAAGAAAGGCTGGCCTCCTGCGGGCAGAGCTGGGCTGAACTGACTCCCCCCTCTATCTCAGTCATTAAAGGTGGCAAAGGCAGCAAAGCCGGTGTGGTCAGCGATGCCCTGAAGGACCCAGAGGTGTGCACAGACCCCATCCGGCTTACCACGCACGCCATGGGTGTCAACATCTACAAGGAGGGCCAGGATGTGGCCCTGAAGCCTGATGCTGAGTACCCCGAGTGGTGAGTGGGCCAGGCTGGACAGCAGGGAGAACCAGTGACGGGGTGAGGAGGAGCCTGGCTGATCGAATCTGAGGTTTCTGGGAGGGCTTCTCTGGGAAGATGATGCATTGGTCAAGACCTGAGTGGGTGGAAGGGGCTTCAGAGGTGGAGGGAACAGCCAGTGCAAAGGCTCTGTGGCAGGACTATACTTGATTTATAAGCGGAACTGCAGGGAGCAAGGTGGAGAATAGGGAGAGACAGCAGGGAGGTTACAGAGCCCAGTCCTGGCAGGGCTTGGGCTCTGCAGGGAGAATTTGGATTTTACTCTTGGCCCCCAGAGCAGTGGGCAGAACATGGAAGCCATTGACATGTAAAGCTGGGGAAAGTTCAGAAAGGTGGAGTGAGAGGCAGCACAGCACAGACAATGGCCAGGAGGCAGAAGCCTTGGCATGTGCCTGCCTCAGATAGGCACCTTTGGGATGGTGGTTCCCCCTTGTTCCACAGCCAGGAACCCAGTTCAGGGAGGGGGAGTGACCACCCTAAGATCACGCAGCCCCATGGACCCAGTCCTGCTACTGCCTCCGCACTGCCTCTTTCCAAGGTACCTGGGGCTGGGGAGTTGGGGGCGGTTTGCTGGGTAGCCCTGATTCCTGCCCATATTCCATCAGGCTGTTCCAGATGAATGTGGGTCCCCCCAAGAAGCTGGAGGAGCTGGACCCTGAAACCCGGGATTACTGGCGGCTGCTGCGGAAACACAACATCTGGCGCCACAACCGGCTGAGCAAGAACCAAAAGTTCTAGGGGTGAAGGGACCAGAGCACACTGACCCACCAAAGGACCTCGGTAGGCACAAAAGGAGGACCCCAGAGGGGTACAACACCTTCCCCATCCTGCCCCACAGAAGAGTTTTTCTTTTCCTAGAGGAAACAGACTTTTCCTTATCTGTGTTCCTGTGTGACCCCCCACAGCAAGGCTGGATCAGGGTCCGGGTCCAAGGGACCAATAAAGACCTCTTGGGGTTGTCATTGGCAGATCCTGGATGCCACTGGGTGTTGTCTGATGTGCCGGCGGGAAGTGGGGCAGGTGGTGGAGAGGTGGTGGGCACCTCCTAAGACACAGTGGTCCCATGGCCCCAACCTCCATTCCTTGTTATCGGCTGGGCTTCTGCAGGCCCAGCTTCACCTCCAGACCTCACTGGGCTTCTCGCACTGATTCCTGGAATTCCTAGCACTGCCCAAAAGGCCCCAACCCCACTCCTCAAAGGGGAGGTTTTTCTATCAAAGCCTCTCTTGGTTGCAAGGGATTCAAACCTGACTCAAGCCTTGTGAAGCAGAACAGAGTTGACGAGCTTCTGGAACTGAAAGGTCCAGGGGTCGGGCTCGCTTCAGGCATAGCTGGATCCAGATGCTTCAGCATTCAGCTGTGTGGCTCCCTCCATCTCTGGGTCCTTTTGACCCCCACGTGGTAGTTCTCTTGGGCAGGGGTGGCTCAGGGCTTCTGGCCAACACCCGTCGCCCCTCGCCCCAGCTCAGCAAATACAGCCAGATGTAAAGGACTTTCCTTTTTTTCCTGCCAAGGTCAAAGGTTATCTTCATTGGCCAATCACTTGATCCCAGGAACATGGGCCTACCAACCGTCCTATCCACCCCAACTAGTGCCTAGGTCTCACTGCCCCCCTCCCCCATCCCCAGGAAATGCATCCTGGAGTATGCACGAGGCACCCTGAACCTAATCCACAGCCCCAGTGAGCATCCCAGCTCTGGGTGGCCCTAACTCCTGCCTTGCTTGGCTGTGAGGGAGGACAGCAGCCCAGGGACAAGGCCAGAACCCACCCGATTGGAGGAGGCTGGGGTGGGGGCACACCAAGCAATGCCTGTAAGGCCCTACCCACTGCTATGGCCCCACTGTCTCCAGTAGGCACCTGTGCGTCTGGATGGGTGCCATCCTCCATGCCCCAGTGTTCACACTGGAGGGGCGGGGCAAAGTTTCCACAGCTAATTCTGCCTGGTCCCAGGAAAATGAGAGCCCTTATCCGCTTAAGACAGCGGTTCTCAATCTGTGGGTCGCGACCCCTTTGGGGGTTGAACGACCCTTTCACAGGGGTTGCCTAAGACCATCGGAAAACAAAAAGATATTTACATTACGATTCATAACAGTAGCAAAATTACAGTTATAGAGTAGCAATGAAAATAATTTTATGGTTGGGGGTCACCACAACATGAGGAACTGTATTAAGGGGTCGCAGCATTAGGAAGGTTGAGAACCGCTGGCTTAAGAGGACTCTGCTGAGGGGATTACCCAGAACATGCTCTCCCTGGTGGCAGCCCTAGGTATGCGGAACATCCCAACCTTCCCATGATATCAGTAAAAACCAAAGTTTTTTTTTTTTTTAAAGATTTTTATTGGGGAATTGGGGGCTGGGAACAGCATTGGGGAATTGGGGGAAGGGGAACAGACAAGTTGCTGTCCTTTTGTTCTTCAGTCTAGTTGTGGAGGACGTTGCTTCACTGGCCCAAGTTGGCACCATCACTGCGCTCTTCCCGGGCGAGGCAGATCAGTCGCCGGCTTCTGGACGGCCGCTCACTGCGGCTGCTGGCCGCTCACGCTGGCTGCTGGCTACACACGGTAGCCCATGGCAACCCACTGCAGCAGGAGCTGCAGCCTATGCCATCACCGGTGATTCACGGCAGCCCCGCTCCAGGTCAAGCTGTTGTTCAGCATCTTAGCTGTAGAGGGCAGTGTCACTGGCCCTCATATGTGGGATCCAAACTGGGGCCCTCTGGCATCCCAAGCCAGCTCTTAACCAACGCACCACTCAGCCAGCCCTAAAAACCAAAGTTGTAATTGCAACAGGCCCTACCTGCCCTGCCCTGTCACCTCCCTGCCCTCACCTTCTCTCTCCCCCTCCCACTGCTCCATGTGACACACAGGCTCTTTGCTGTTCCTCTAACTCACGTGGCTGGGCTGTGCCTCAGGGCCTTTGCACCTATGACTGTTGCCTGGGTCGCTCTTCCCCTGGTGTCCCCGTGGCTCCCTCCTTCACCTCCAGGTCTCTGCTCAGGTCACTGTGAAGCCTCCCCTAACCACCATATTCAACTGCAACACCTGCCTTGCACTCCCAATCGCCCTTCCTGGCTTTATTTTTCTCCCTTGTATTTACCACCAGCTGGTGTTTTATGTTTTATTTATTTTTTATTCATGCATCTTGTGTCTCCCCCTGGAACGATGGCTCCATTAGGGTAGCGATTTTTGTTTTGTTTACTGTTGTGTCCCCATTGCTTATTGGATGGGTGGATGGATGGATGTATTGGGTTGGACAGAACAAATGCTGGCCTTGCCACCAGGGCCCCATCCCAGCCTGACTGGGCTAGGAGACGTGATGGTATCTGGTCAGTGGGGACATAAGCCACACTTTGAAACATGGAAGGAGCAAGGACAGACAGTATTCTCCCATCCCCCATTAGCTCTGACCTGGGTGCCGCTGCTTCCCACGCTAGTAAGGACCCAGTGTGCGCCTGGGGCAATGGAGTCAGGCACGAGTTTGAAAAAGAGCTGCACCTCTTATTGGCTGTGTGGCTTCAGTAAACTGGCTTCCCAACTCTGGGCCTCAGTTACCTCATTGTACAGTGGGGCTGAGGGCTGTTCTTGCCTCATATGCTCGGCTTGGGCCAGGAGCACGCTGTGAAAGGAAGCCCCTGGACAGCAGCTGCTCTGCTGTTATTAGTTATAATATTTCTTGAAGAGGGAGGCCCTGAAAGTCGGGCACCTCTGCTGCTGAAAGATTAGGAGGGATTTAGAGTCATCGACTCGCAGAATTAAGGTGTCGGTAGCTCCTGATTATAGCCTTACCGTCCCAGAGCCTCCAAATCCACCCCCACCCCCCCATTTGACAGAGGGGGCACTGAGGCGCCAAGAAGGGCAGAGACTCCCCCCTCAGGCCACCCAGGGCCCCGCCCCCTGGCATGGGAACCCTGTGGCCACCTCCTTCCCAAGACTGGGCAGCAGTCTCCCTGAAAGGAAGGATGAGGTGGGTTGGGACCCAGCATGGGTGGCCATGGATGGGGAGGAGAGGGATGGCAAGGGTCTCAAGTCTTGCTCTTCAGTGATAGCTTGACCTGATGGTTGGGCTACTCTGTAACCTTGCCTAGGTCTGTCACCTAGCACGTCCCAGGCCCTTGGGACAGGTTGAAGAGGGAGAGCTGAGCGGGCACCAGGTTCAAGCCGTTGGCCAGGTCCTGTCCAGAGTTTGTGTGTGCTCCTTGGCCAACAGCCAAAAGGATGTCTCCTCCAGGGTGAAGCCATCCACGAAGGCCGTTCCAAAGACATGGGGCCCAAAGGATGCCTGCAGCCCGGGCCGGGGCCCAGGAAGTGAGGGAGGGCTGGCAATGCGGGGGGCTCGGGGCCCACCTAGGGATCCAGGGGCAGTGGCGTGGCTGGAGGGTGGGCAAACGGCAGGGCTGGGGTCTCAGGGAGCCTCGGGGCTGCCATGGCCCCCGAGCCCGACTCCAGACGCTCCTGGCGCTGCCACTTGGCCCGGTGGTTCTGGAACCACACCTGGATGTAGAGAGAGGGTGCTCCAGCCCAGGACTGGTGGGGAAGACAACCCGCTCCTCCCCAAACCACAGCGTCCCACTCTGAACTTCTCAGCCTGCTGCAGTACCAACAGGTTTTGTTATTCTGTCTCAAGGCTGTACTTGTGGTCCCCATCACATCGCCCCTAAATCTTTTCTGAATCTAATCCCTCCTCACCATACTCTTTGCCCAGGTCCTCAGGCTCCTCAGCCTCCTCCCTCGTCTCTTCTGGCCCTTGATCATGAAGTCCAAGTGGCTCAGCTCAGCATTCGAAAACCTTCAGAGATCTTTCTCAGCTCCATTTTCTGCCTCCCCTTCCACCGAGCTCAATGGAAATGCCTCTGACTTAATCACTGCACATCCTTGTACAAGCTGTTTGGATGCCTAGAAAAACGCCCTCTCTCTTTTCTAGCTGGCAAACTCCTACTCAGATGTCAGAGCCTCAGTCCCACATCCCCTCCTCCGGGAGGCCTTCCCAGTTTCTTTTCTACCTACGCATTGGGAGGGTCCCTATATGGATACAGCTTCCTCCCTGGGTCCATGGAGGTGCTCTTACCTGCATGCACACCTCTGGCAAGTGCACCTTGGCTGCCAGCTCCTCATGGCTGTAAATGGGTAGTGGGAGGCCTCAAATGCCCGCTCCAGCTGGTGCAGCTGGTACATGGTGAAGGTGGTGCAGTTCCTCCGGTGCTGCTGCTTGGGGGCCTCCTTGCAGGGTGCTGCCCCCCCCC